AAACACCAGCAGCACAAACTCCAGGTGCCACTCCATCAGGAGCTATGACCCCTTCAACACCTCATACACCCAGTATGACTCCAGGAATGATGACTCCTGGGGGTATAACTCCTGGAGGTACAACACCTGTTGGGCCAAAGGCTATTGGCATGGCTACTCCATCACCAGGACAACTGGTAAATATGACACCAGAACAAATTCATGCTTTCAGGTGGGAAAGGGAAATTGATGAGAGGAATAGGCCCATGACAGATGAGGAACTTGATGCTCTATTTCCCCCTGGGTATGAGGTGCTACCACCACCTCAGGGTTATGTTCCTATCAGAACACCCGCACGTAAATTAACGGCTACTCCAACACCAATGATTGGAACCCCACAAGGGTTCTACATGCAGAAGGAAGGCATGACACCAAAGCATGATGACTCACAGCCCAAAGGTAATTTGCCCTTACTGAAACCTGAAGATGCCCAATACTTCGACAAACTTTTGCAAGATGTTGATGAGGAGAGCCTAAGCCCAGAAGAGCAAAAGGAAAGGAAAATAATGAAGTTGCTTCTTAAAATAAAGAATGGAACTCCTCCAATGCGCAAGGCAGCACTACGCCAGATTACAGATAAAGCAAGAGAGTTTGGTGCAGGGCCTCTCTTTAACCAGATTCTTCCTTTGCTAATGTCCCCAACACTGGAGGATCAAGAACGACATCTTTTGGTAAAGGTTATTGACAGAGTTCTCTACAAACTTGACGACCTGGTACGCCCTTATGTTCATAAGATTCTCGTGGTCATTGAACCTCTACTTATTGATGAAGATTACTATGCTCGTGTAGAAGGTAGAGAGATCATTAGTAATTTAGCCAAAGCTGCTGGGTTAGCAACCATGATTTCCACAATGAGACCTGATATTGATAACATTGATGAATATGTGCGTAACACTACTGCCCGAGCCTTTGCTGTTGTGGCCTCTGCCCTTGGGATTCCATCTTTGTTACCGTTTTTAAAGGCTGTATGTAAGAGCAAGAAGTCATGGCAGGCACGGCATACTGGTATTAAGATTGTCCAGCAGATTGCCATCTTGATGGGTTGTGCAATTTTGCCACATCTCCGTTCCCTTGTTGAAATTATTGAACATGGACTGGTTGACGAGCAACAGAAGGTGAGAACTATCACTGCTCTTGCCTTGGCTGCTCTGGCAGAAGCAGCAACGCCTTACGGTATTGAGAGCTTTGATTCAGTCTTGAAGCCTTTGTGGCGTGGTATCCGGCAACACCGAGGAAAGGGTCTTGCTGCCTTTTTGAAGGCTATTGGTTATCTGATCCCACTTATGGATGGAGAGTATGCTGACTACTATACAAGGGAAGTGATGTTGATCCTCATTCGTGAATTCCAAAGTCCTGATGAAGAAATGAAGAAGATTGTGTTGAAGGTGGTCAAACAGTGTTGTGCTACAGACGGTGTTGAACCGGGATATATTAAGGAGGAAATCCTGCCCCACTTTTTCAAGCACTTTTGGAATCACAGAATGGCTCTCGATCGTCGAAATTACCGCCAGCTCGTTGATACAACTGTTGAGATTGCAAATAAAGTTGGAGCATCTGAAATTGTTAACCGTATTGTGGACGATTTAAAGGATGAAAATGAGCAGTACCGTAAAATGGTAATGGAAACAATTGAAAAGATCATGGCCAACCTAGGAGCAGCAGATATTGATTCACGACTCGAAGAACAGTTGATTGATGGCATTCTTTATGCATTCCAGGAGCAGACTACAGAGGACGTCGTTATGCTCAATGGATTTGGTACCATTGTCAATGCTCTTGGATCACGCGTCAAGGCTTACCTTCCTCAGATTTGCGGTACTATATTGTGGCGGCTGAATAATAAGTCGGCCAAAGTGCGTCAACAAGCTGCAGATCTTATATCTCGTATTGCAGTAGTAATGAAGACATGTCAGGAAGAGAAGCTGATGGGACATTTGGGCGTTGTGCTTTATGAATATCTTGGTGAGGAGTATCCCGAAGTTCTTGGGTCCATTCTTGGTGCTTTGAAAGGTATTGTGAATGTTATTGGAATGCACAAAATGAACCCTCCAATCAAAGACCTTCTCCCACGTCTCACTCCCATTCTGAAGAACAGACATGAAAAAGTACAAGAAAATTGCATTGACTTGGTAGGACGCATTGCCGACAGAGGACCAGAGTATGTTAGTCCTCGTGAATGGATGAGAATTTGCTTTGAATTGCTTGAACTTCTTAAAGCACACAAAAAAGCCATCAGAAGAGCAACAGTAAACACATTTGGTTATATTGCCAAAGCTATTGGTCCACACGATGTGCTTGCTACATTACTAAATAACCTTAAGGTTCAAGAGCGACAAAATCGAGTGTGCACAACTGTGGCTATTGCTATAGTCGCCGAAACATGTTCCCCATTTACAGTTCTCCCAGGTCTTATGAATGAATACAGAGTTCCTGAACTTAATGTCCAAAATGGAGTTCTGAAGTCCCTTTCTTTCCTTTTTGAATACATTGGTGAAATGGGGAAAGATTATATCTATGCAGTGACATCACTTCTGGAAGATGCTCTCATGGACAGAGATCTAGTGCATAGACAGACTGCATGTGCAGCCATCAAACATATGGCCATTGGAGTTTATGGCTTTGGGTGCGAAGATGCACTGATTCACTTGTTGAATTATGTATGGCCTAATATCTTTGAGACATCACCTCATCTGGTCCAAGCTTTCATGGACAGCATTGAGGGTCTTAGAGTGGCCCTTGGACCACAGAAGGTATTTTTTCTTTTGTTTAAACTTTTTGATATGGATATATATATATTTTAGTGTTGCTGAGATTTTGTTTAATAAATCAGTACAACATTGATTCTGGTTACAAAAAAAAAAAAAAAAAAAAAAAAAATTGTGTTTTTGCTAACAGATTATTTTCTATTGCAGATCCTTCAGTATGTTTTGCAGGGGCTTTTCCACCCAGCAAGAAAAGTTCGAGATGTGTATTGGAAAATTTACAACAATTTGTATATTGGCGCTCAAGATGCTCTTGTTGCTGGGTATCCACGGATATTAAATACAGGCAACAACATATACTCCAGGGATGAGCTTGATTATATCTTGTAGTTTATTTTTTTGTAAAATTATATTCAGTGAAAATGTTGGGTTATTTTCATACAAAGCTGTTTGTGTCTGTGTTTCGGGATGGCTGTTTCCTTGTGTACATGTATACATGCACATTTATGCACAGTTTTACACACACACACACATACACATACACATACACATACACACAGGCGCAAGCGCACGTGTGTACACCTAGTTTAATTTCATGTTTGTTAATATCAATGGGTGATTTTTGGATCATAAAATGACCATAGTAAAATTTACATCATGGCAGTATTTTGTTCTCTCCACACTTTCACTTTTACTCATGGAGTAAGTGCTAAGTATAGGCTAATTGTAGCCCTTGGTTAGTCACTGGATAACTGTTGAAGATGTCCATTTTCACTTGAAGATTGTAGGATTACTTTCAGTTTCACTCACTGATGCTGAATTTAAGCAATGTGATGTCCATTAACGTATACAGATTATTTTGAAAGTAAAATTTATGAATGGAGTGATACCTGCATTTTACGTGAAACCTTTTTATAAGTACAGTACAAGTGAAATTAGTTCTACAAACTTCGTCAATTATACTGGTGCATGAAGATGCATCATTGTCCATAACCTGTGTATAGCAGAATCTGATTTGTATGGCAACAGAGTTATAACCAAGTAGTTAGCATATCTTTCTGAATGTATACAATAAGAATGATGGTAATTGATGGTCCGGAACTATGTAGATGCTGTCAAAAAGTACCTGACATAATGACCCTTTAGTCATCAAGAATTTAAGAGTTTGTATGCCATATATCAGACCGTTTAAGAAGCTATGAAGATTGCCTAACTTTCTAAATATAAAGAAATGTAGGAGAGGAATGTTTGTAAAGTACAACAATTCTTTTTCGGGAACTGATTTGTCTCCCAAGTTGAAAGTGATGAATGGTTGTTTCATGTGTTAGAAATTTATGTATTATTGCATTTGACCAAATATATGGATGATTATAATAATGTAAACAAGGCGTTTCGTATTGGCAAATGACAGCTCATTATAAGTTAGCAGAAGTTACCGTTCTCTAGATCATGTCATAATTTGATAATGTAGCAGTCATAGATTAAGTTAATCCTGTCTAACAATCCATCCTGCTTGTACTTTTAGGACCTGTCATCTTTTGAGATTTGATTTTTTAAGTTTATTTCAAAAATACTGTTTTGAACACTACTCCCAATAGAGTGTTGGAATAAAATTATTATATTCATAAGATTTTTATTAACTCCATTTTATCATTTCATTTTAACACGAACATTGTGGGAATGGACACAGGAAATACAGTGGAAGAAGTAATAAGTATTTCTGCATCATAACTACTTGAATCAATTTGAAAAATAGGGAATACACAGTGAATTAGTGGCCAAGAAGTGGTACATGAAGACCCAACGACCAGAGCTAAAAAAAAGTTCTTATTTAGGATGGATGTGACTGAAATCGTGGCAAACGGGTAGAAGCGTAACTGAAGAAACCCTCGCTTCATCAATTTTCAGTGAAGACGGGAGACAAAATTCTGGTGGTCAAAATATAAAAGAGGAATCTGATGTAACCATGCCATATACCAATTTTATATGACTTTATTCATATAAAATAGACCTAAAATATGCTTAAGCCCATTTGAAGTTCATAGCTATGTATCAGTATGTAGAAAGGTGAATTAGAATGGAAAATTTACACCATGAATACCTTTGGAAATGTATCAGCGTTATGCCTAAGCTAGCAGGTGGTACACGTATTGGAAAATGGCAACAAAGTGACCGCTAAATTCACATTCCATACTGCCCAAATGCTACTAAGGATGTAACACACTGTTATCGCTGTTGAAAGCCTTTCCACACGAGCGA